CTAGAATAACCAAATTTAGCAAAAATCAACACATAAAAATCAATAGCAGTCCTCTATGCCAATAATAAACAAAGGAAGAAATTTGGAAAAAATACCATTCACAATAGCATCAAAAAAAATTAAATATTTAAGAACTAATCTAAGCAAGGAAATGAAAGACCGCTACAATGGGAACTGCACTATTCTAAAAAAGGAGATCAAAGAGAACGTCACAAAATGAAAAGATAGCCCCTACTGCTGGACAGGCAGAAGCAATACATTCAAAGTGGCCACACACTTCCAATACTGATATACAGATTTAATGCAAACTCAAAATACCAATAGCATTCCACACAGAATTACAGAAAACAATTGTAAAATTCCTATGGAACTAGAAGACACCCACAATAGCAAAATCAACCCTGTAAACGACAAAGCAGGGGGCATCACAATCCTGGACTTCAGTAATGTTATAAAGCGACAGTAATAAAACAGCATGTGCGGGCACAAAGACAAACATGCGGCTGTACGGAACAGAAAAAGGGATGCAGAAATAACCCTAGGCACATTCACCTATCTGACCTTTCACAAAAGGGCCCGTAACATGCAGTGGAAGAAATATAGCCTCCTTGATAAATGGTGCTGGCATAACTGGCTATCTACATGTAGAAAACTGATTCTAGACCATCTCTCTCACCATGTACTGAATTAAAATCAAAACAGATCAAAGACCTGAATGTTAAAATAGAAACAATCTACTGGAAGATAAAATAGGTAAAACTCCTGAAGATACACTGGAGGCAAGCACTTTCTGTACAGAACGCCAGCAGCTCAAGAAACAGCACCACAAATAAACAAATGGGATGGATCACATCAAATTAAAAAGCTCCTGTACAGCTAAGAAAACAACCAACAGAGCAAACAGCCAACCTACAGAAGAACATTTCGCCAGCTATCCCTCGGACAAAGATCAGGATCTAAAATAAAGAATTCAAAAAAATTAGACACCCCCAGAAAGACCCAATCAAAAATGGGCAACTGAAATGAATCCACAATTCTCAAAACTGGCTAGTAAATACATGAAAGAAGGTTCAACTTCTCTGGTCATTAGAAAAATGCAAATTAAAACAACACTGAGATTCTATCTTTTCCCAAAATCAAGAAATCAAATAATAAATGTAAGCTATACTATATTCCCTACATGTTACTGGGAAAAGGAACCTTTCTACATTGTTGGTGGGAATGTAAACTAATATAATAATTATGAAAATCAGTATAGATTTCTCAAAAACCAGTAATAAAAGTTCCATTCGACCATGCTATTCCCCTTTGAGGTATGATCCCAAAAAAGTTATAAAGACATCATATTACAGTGATATATGTACACCCATTCTGGGCCAGGGAGATAGCTCAGCAGCACAGCACCTGCCTGGCAAGTGCAAGGTCCCAATTCCGACTCCCGGTACCAAAAAGAAAACATGTACACCCATTCAAAATAGCTCAATTTGCAATAGCTAAGTTGTAGAAGCAGCCTATATGTCCATAAATGGATGGATACAGAAAATGTGGTATTTGCACACAATGGAATACTATTCCACCATAAAAAAGGATAAACTTGCTAGGAACGGTAACACATGCCTGTAGTCTCAGCACTTGAGAGGCTGAAGGAGGATTGCCATGAGTTTGAGACCACCCTGGGCTACACAATGTATTCAAAGCCAGCCTGAGCCAGGAGAATTGTTGCAAGTTTGAGACCAACCTGGGCTTCAGAGTAAGCTCAAGGTCAGCATAAGCTGCATAGCAAGACCTTGTCTCAAAACGAAGAGGGGGGGGTGGGATAAAAAAATAAAAAAATAAAAGCCAGGCTGAGCTACATAGCAAGACCCTGTCTCCAAAAAAGAAAAACAAAAAGAGAGAGAAACTTGAGTCATTTGTAGGAATATGAATGTAAGAATATGGATGCAACCTGAATGTTGAATGAAATAAATCAAGACACATAATATTAAATATCACATGGTTTCACTTATATGAGAAACCCAAAATATGTAAAGAACAAAACAGAAGATAATAATAGGAAATAGGGAAATAGAAATACTGCAAATGAGATGGGGACTAAGACATGGAAGGAAGGGCAAGGTGGGAAGAGGAAAAGGATAAAAACATTGAGGTATGTTATGTCCGTGTACCAACTCCCCACACGGAATGTGATCATTATGTACTGCAAGCACGCACTAATAAATACCGAAGAACAAACAAAAAACTTCCTGGAGAGCTGTATAAACACTTCATGCCACGATTCCCTGTTCAGTAAATAACCCTTTCACAAGGCTGACATCACCGGGGTAGACAGATTTAAAAGAATATGTCCCAGAGTGTTCTCTTCTCCTTTCCAATCTAGAGATTTTCCTGTAACCCTGCATTTTCCTTTGCTTTTTCTCTTCCTGTGTCCTCGGGCCCAATGTGTTTCAAAATGTATCAATGTCATGTAAGTCTAGAAGATGCTATAAAAATAGAATTTTAAACACTTTATAAAATTTTCTTAAAGCTCAGAACTATGAATTTAGCTATCATGTAGATTTAGGGGAACACCTGATAGATACAGAATGCAATAAATCACACAGAAATAATATCTTGCTAAGTCGCTGTGCTGACTCCAATTGTAATCTTCCTGTCTCAGCCTCCCAGGTTGCTGGGATTACAGGTGTGAATCTATCTATTCACCTGTGTGAATCTATCTATCTATTCTGATCTATCACATTAAATCTGAAATCTATCATGTAGATTTAGGGGAACATGTAGATTTAGGGGAACACTTGCCTATCATGAACTAGCCCTTAACTGCAAAAAAATGAAAATAGAAACTTGAGTCCTTTAAGATGGTACCAGTCCAGGCAAATCTAAAAATCCAAAATATAATTTTTAAATCATTAGCACCAAAAGGTAAATGTCAAAAATACTCATCAAATTTTCCATTCAGTTCTCCATTCCATTGTGTGCATTCAGTTCTACTACTATAACCATTTATATTAAACAGTATGTAAAATATAACCTAAATGTTTAGCTACATATAAAGATGTCCTTTACATTAGTCAATATATTAAATGATTTTGCTCAGCAAGCTTTTTTCGGAGTTTCAAGATAAACTTCTAATAAAGTCCAACCTATACCAAATCATACTATGTTCCAATCCAAAACACTTAAGTCTGTGATACTTCAGCTTGAAATATTTAAATCTATTTAAAATGGTGAAATTTTTGTTAAATTCTTGGCCAAAAAAAACATTTTTGTGATTTAAATCTTTCCATTTAAATTAATGTGGCAAATTAAATATCTTCAAACCTTACCATACCATATGTTAAAAGATTTTAATATTTAAAAGTATTGCTAATCATCAGAAAAAATAAAGAAAATTCTTATTTATAACTGTTAATTTTTCAGTTGATATTTGAGACTGAAGGTGTGAATAATCTTCTTCTACCAACTCTGGCAATCCTGGAACTTCAGTTTCATAACCAAAAAAACAGGAATAACAAGACAGAAACTACTATAATATGTTCTTTCAATAGAGAACTGAATGTGAAACTAGCAGGTTTGACTGCCAATAAAAATAGACATAAGGAAATGCAACTAGGTGAAGAGATTAATAAAATTTCAAAAAGCAGGTGGCAGTACACTGGTGTGCAGCCTAAATTTTTTTTTCTTTCATCAGATTTTATTGGTACATTTTAGATATACATAATGATCACATTTATCACAAAGAATGTGTACCTGTACATGATATAACTTGATTATTTTTTCCCATTCCTCCTTTTTTTCCCATTCAACCCCTCCTCCCCTCCCACTTACAAAAGTTTTGTTTTCATTTTTTCTTCCTTTCTCACTTACTTTTTCTTTTTCTCTTCTTTCCTTTCCCCTTCTCCCTCCCTTGTCCCCCTCCCCATTTAAAGCCTTTCTTCATATTTCACAATACCTAATATTTGGTCCTTATTTATACTTTTTTATACAATGGAATACTACTCTGCCATAAAGAAGGTAAGCATGAGACATTCCTATGTAAATGGATGCACCTTGAGACCATACTGTTAAAGTGAAATAAATCAGACACACATGTAAATACCACATTGTTTCTCTGGTGTGAGAAACTGAAAGCCTCTCTAAAATTAAAAAAATGAGACTAGCAGTTCAGAAGAACTCAGAAAAGGCATTTGCACCTATATTTCTGCTATTTCCTACTTTAAGTTCTTAAGTATTTTCAGCTAAGGAACAAAGAGTAATTGGTTCTTTCAACATTTATTTTTCTCATTAAACTGATTTTTTTTTTTTTTTTTTTTTTTGGTTTTT